CGCCGCAGCCGCATCACCTCGGCGTATGAGGGGCGCAGGCAGCCAGGGCAAGGGTAGACACCGGCCATGCACTGTGCCCCTGTCTCTTATGCTCAGCCAGTTCTGTCCCTTTTAAATGATCGGGCGGCTGCATGTGACACCAGAAATGACGCTCATACCATGTGACACCAGAAATGACGTTTATTGGGGAACGATTGTTTTATATTCGCTGATTGATCATCGCGTCCGATCAGGAATCGGTTATTGATCGATCAGATGAGACCGATGTGAGGAACTTGTGTACAACGTCGCCTCTCCGCACCCGCCTGAGGGCCAGACTGACCGGTTCCTCCACACCGACTGCGCCCCTCCCCCTCCCACCGCCGAACGCACATCCTCGCTGAGGTTGGATTGAAATCCGGTTTTGCTTTGTGCTGATTTCCTTGCGAATACGTCATTGTGGACGGATGACGGGACGCATGATAAGCACGCTGCAGAAGGTACGACGCACACACACGTCGCGGATGCCAAAAGTGCATGACATGCCGGCTCAGAGAGGACAGTCCTGTAAAATCTGTTCACAAATGTCTGACACAGATCAGCCCCCTGCCTGCAGCCTCTCACCTTGTGACTGGATACAAAGTTACTGTGTTGCAGACTGATCACTGGGGGGAGGGGAGACTGCTGCAGGCAGGAGGAAGCATTTCCTCAGTCCCCCCCCCCCCCCCCCTAGTAGTAGCAGCATCACGTGTGCCCCCTCCTGTCAGCACATTCCCCGCGTTAGACTGACAGCACAGTGTAGAGAAGTAGATGGTGAGTGACTGGCAGCAGTGACCCCCCCCTGTTCTGCTATAAAGCGGGTGTACAGGAAGCTGATATAACGATAGACGGAGGTTCTTATACATGCTGTGTGTATATATATATATATATACTCCGGACATGAATTATGCAACGCGTCGCCCTCGTCCGTCCGCGGACAGCTGGAGTTAACCCCTTCCTGTGCTCAGGTGACCGCCGGCGCTGGGGGGGCGGGGGCACTCGATGACGCCCCGCGTGACACCAGAGCAGAATGAGGCAATGGAGGGATCGGGGGAGGGGGAGATCAGGAATTCAGTCCGGTTCAGCCGAATCTCAACAACCAATCGTGTGTGTGGAAATTGGTACGCGGAAGAGTCTTCTGGGTAATGGGGGTCAGCGCCCCCGAAACCCCCCCCCCGAAAGCACACTCCGAGACGCCTCGCCCCGCA